ATTCACAACTCCCTCCCCCTCCTCTCCTCTCTCACTCTCGCCAGCAAAAAAAAAAAGAAAAAAAAAACATTTTTGGGCAAGGGAATGGTCAAATGTTTCTTCACACTTTTTGTATTCTTATAATAATTGCAGAAGGAGTGGCTTCTGGTTGTATATTTAATACTTATTGTTCAAAATCACAATTATCGGTCGAAAGTGTTATATTTGTCGGGTTTTTAGTGGTTCTTTTCATTGAGCTTTTCCTTCGAGTGAACATGTATACCCCAGTTCAATTATTTGTTCGCTGTACACGGTCAACAAGTCAGCGAAAGAGGGTTACTATTCAGTTCCATTGGAATATACACCGACTCGGCAATATCAAAAGTTATGAACGATAATACATTCGATGATATGATGGTGTAAAATTATTGTTAATAGATCTCTATCAATTTATTATCTCATTACCTATTATATTCCCCTTATTCCATCTTTTCCTATTCCTTATTGTCTGTATATTTATCTATTCCTTATTCCGTACATCATTACTTTTTTTTTCTCTGACATTCTTATAGACACTCATCCTTATTAATAGGTATGAAAATAATAGACTTGGCATTACTATTTTCCCTTTTCCCCGGGATAAAAAAAAAATTCAAAAAATTTTCATTATTATAGTTCTGGTTTCCCTCTTCTCTTCATTATTCTTTTTTTGGCATTCATATCTTTTTCTTTCTTACACCATCGTAACATTCGAGGTATTATAGTATCATCACCAACAGACACGTAACCTTTCGGCTCTGAGTAAAGACCCATCGACCTTGAATCTTTATATCCACCGGGGACTGTACTTCAACTTGGTTCCGAAGCAAAGTGAGGGCCCCCCATCCCACGAATGAGAGTGATGCTTTCAAGTTCAACAACATTCAAGAATATCAATCAATCTACCACATTCTATTCACGCGCTCCCGGATCACACGCGCATACAAAGACAACACCGGCCTTTCGGTTTTACAAGAAAAGAGCACTGGAAAACTACGTTTTTTTTAAGTCTATATTTATATATGGGTAATATGATTTTAAATTTTTTCCTTTTTCACATATGATATGTTAAACAAAACCACAACAATTAAGCTTTTCCAATTTTGATATATTAAGCAACTTATTCACATTCGCATACGATAGTTTTCCGTCTTCCTTTTATTATTATACCTGAAGGGTTATGCTATAACAACGATTATGTATTTTGTTCCAGTTGCACCTTTTCTTTTAATAACGAGTTTCCTTTCTAGTCATGGCACATATATACTAGTAATTAATTATTTAGTCCTTTTTATTATCAAAGTTGAATGTGAGATCTTTGTAGACTGAGATATTCTTTTGCGCCTTGCATCACTTAATTTGTTTGTCCACTGAAAATTGAGCAAAATAAAACGAACCAAGAAGAAGAAAAGTCTGACGGTTGAAGAAAAAAAAACCTTGTATTAAAAGTGTTAGTCATTGTTTAACGGTGGTGTTGCATATGAGATCCTATAATCGGATTACAGACCAAAGCAAATTGCGCGCTTGCTTGCATACATTCTTTTTTCACGTTCTGATGCAGAATGGCGCTAATGCATTCTTATCACGTGTTATACACAAAGAGTCGTTGTTCCAATGCACCAATAAATTCAATGTTGCAGAAGGCACGCATATTCGCTATACTCTCTAAGGGTAAATGTGTAAGCACGCAACCTTGATCATTTGATCATGTTAGAGTGTGGCTTTGTTGCAAAATTGCGGCGGCTATGGAAAAAAGACTCGCTCTTTTTTTTTTTTTCCTTTTTTTTTTTCCCTTTTTTCTTTTTTTTTTCACAAGTAACGCTATATAGAGAACTGCGAACAATTGGTCATTATCACAAGTTGCATAATACAAAAGTTTCATTTGTATGTATATTCTTTTACGATTGGCGTAGTATCGAAGCCTAAATAAGAGAGCATCTTATACTATAATCTTTTGGATGTGATTGATAGGCCGATTTTTCTAATAATAAAAAAAGTCGTGGGTCCTCTTTAATATTAAGCCATGCCATTTACGGAAAAAACCGAATTATGGATTAAGCCCTTTCTTGACCTCATTCGGTCAATAAACTTTTCAGGTCCCGGACTTTTTTCCACTAGTCCGAGAATATATTAGTATTAGTATTTGCATATATAATCTAGCGTGCTGCGAACTTAGCATTTAGTGATTGGCGTCCGATGACGACATACAGTACCACCCCCCTTCAGCTCATTTACAACGTCGTCGTCGTCGTCCGACGGTCCTGTCACTCTACATAAAGTTGTCATTTACCAGGAACTAGCCCTCTTCTTATTTCTTCGCATTCACGTACACTTGATTATGGCGTGAGCAAGATGTCACGTGAGAATTACCTCTCCTTTTCGATCATACGAAAACGATCAATAAACTTTAGGGGGTCGCTTCGTCATGAATTAATAATAAAAGCTGTCGTACACATATATATCCGTATTGCAAGTGAACAAAATTGATACAAAATACACGATTCCGTCAATTATGGATGTTGCTAATATTGTAATGTTCGACTATATCACCTAACAAGTAATTCAAAAATAAAAATCGTCAGTTTTTCTTGCATGAAAAACTTTTCGTTTCATCATTACATCCGTATGTTACAATGGACGAGACGCCTATCTTTTTCGATATGGTCGATACACGCTACAACCGGGGAAACAATGAATACCGTAATGTCCTGAGTATTGTAGAACTCCAAAACAAGCAATATTACATTTCAGATATTGGGACTGCGTTTATCTAGACAAAGGAAATATGACCCCTGGAGTGGACCAAGCAACAGCGTTTTGGTTACAAGATTTGGAGGAGGAAAAAGAAAATGTGATTAATGCGCGTATATTGGCAGGACCAAGCTCCCGCCGATGGTTATTTTAAAGGAAGAGAAAAACTTAAGGGCCAATATCCACCAGGGCTAGTCGTTAAAATGGAGAGGCGAACTGTCAGAAGATGCAAATCAAAAAGTCTCTACTCGTTTGTAAACGATTTGACATGTAAACTAGACAGGCTTTGCGAAACTGCCCAAACACCTCCAGATGCAGAGAAGACAATTGACACTCCCAATAAGCCAAAAAAAAAAAAAAAAAGTCAGGACGACCAAGAATATTTCGAGCCTCCATGGACACGCGTATTATTTTGCACTTCTTGTTAGTATAAATAATTATGCTGTTTTCAAAAACCTGTCCCTCACATATGGACGGCCACTGGAGAACGAAAGGCGTTTTTGCAAACTGGACCAAAACCTCGTGGACGCGATTTATATATATTTACAACAAAGATATATCGAAATACGTGACGGATCTACAATGACATGTTAAATCGTTCGCTGGTTTCTTTAAGTTTCTGCGTAATAGATTTCTTTTCCAGTCCTCCACAATATATGGCTTATGGAATGATATTTCAGCAGAAATGATTGTTAAGTCCTCTGAGAAATGCGCATCTCAAATGCTTTATTAAAGCGGAAGTTGAGGGATATCGGTAGTAATAGTATTGATTTGAAAGTACATAGTAATACATACACGCTTAGCATAATAGCGTAATGTTGTGATGATGATGCAATTTGTCATTGTGATCAATACATACATATGTTACATTGACAATGTTAATATTTCGCGTCGCGATGTACCCCTCGACTCCTACAGGAGTTTTAGGTACTTACATTTCTCTCGTGTAATTCACTTACTATCATGTCTACGAGTTTATATTTACGTGTAGCCTACTATTACCGAAGTTACACAACATGTCTATGATCCCACAAGTTATTTGCAGTCAATCAAGCGCATATCGAATCGCTAGGATTTAACAGTTGGTTCAACATCTAAAATTAGTAAAAAGTCATATTTCATTGCCAGGTAACTGCTGCATTACCGCAGCCACGACAGCGAATGAGATACAATTTTATGTAATATAACAAGCCAAATACATGCTCTCTTTAAATTAGTTGAACTTATGAAATGGCCTACTAGGGGGGACAATCTTGCGTTTTTGATCTTACACGTAGGATGTAATTTATCGTTCAACAAGAGCTCGGCCACAACCCACAGATCTTGGGTCAATATGAATTACGAGTCGAGAATTCGAATTCTTTTTTCAGTAGATTTTGTTTGCTTTGATTTTGTATAGAGCATGTCCGTGTGAGGATAAATTGAAAAGCGCGGAACTGGGCCGTCCCATCTCCTTGCATTGGCTCTTTGGTCAAACTAATATGACAGCTGATGCTTTCCAGAGTGAATTGGTGACAGCTTTAGAGGTATATATGCTTTATTCGTACCTCTGGCGATGACTTATTCTTGATTTAGTTCGTTCCAGTTTGCAGTTATCGAGAAACATTTCAGTTTGAACTCTTCATCGAGACTACAATTAGATCAGAATTTAAGCTTTGCAAACTCAAGAAGGATACAGGAAATACCAACCATATTGAGGTGATAGTAGGTTTGGCTTTCCGCAAGAAATTTATGTTTGAGGAAGATGCCATTCAGACTTTGTGGATAAGAGTCGCGATGTGATAAACACGTTAATAATGTTGTCATAAAAACAATAAATGACTACTGCTAGTCGAAAAGCTTTGTTACCCAGTAAAAATAAAAAAGAATTAGAGTCCAAATCGAGGGCAGCAGAAATGGTACTCTGAGTGAGATGGAAAGCCAAGATTATAGCCAAAACCATAGTAGCAATTGCTTTGCATATTATTATTTAACGTTATGTACGACGCGCAAGTTTTATTGATATTTACACGGTCAGTTCAAAACAGTAGAGCACAAGTGGAGGAGGATGAGTCGTGACTATCACTTGATAAAACGAATTATATTAATTTTACTATTTTAATATTGTTCTTTCCGTAATCATACAAGAGATATCTTGACACGTTTGTTATATGCTGACACCCCAACCCATTGAACTTCGGCAGATGATGGACGTGCATTTATGCTTCTTGACTATAACGGGTCATCTAGCCTTAAGTTCCTGGTATGTATGGATATGTGCCTGGGGTGAAGACGGGAGCCTGCGCTCTCGATATTTGTGGTGATATAGGGTATGAGTATTGAGATGCTGTTATTTGAGGTGCTGCCGGAGAATAGGAAAGATGATTTTGAAATGATAATTGCTGTTGCGGTATTTGTGTAGATGATTGTGTATTATATGGTGATGTGGATTGTGTTTGCTTTACTTGTTCCTAAGTTCACATAGAAGATAATAAAGTCAGTATTGACGTTATCGCAGTAACGCAAGCATATGTCATGTATTCAGTTTATAGACATGGCGCTATTTATATGTTGTATATTCAAATCCTGTCTACTCACCAGCAAAGCAAGTAAGTGATTAATAGTAGCATTCTGGGAGGTACTCCCGCTTACGCTCCCCGACTTACTAAGATCGGACAACTGACTAATATTATTGCTCACTTGATTCGATGTCCCATTCATATACATTTGATTGGTAAGTGAACTAACTGCAACCGAGCCATTCAAAAACGTTGTGTTTATTACTGGGGTAATTGCAGTTGGATTGAGACATTGATCAGAACCGCGCGTTATCGATTGTAGCGAGAGCTGAAGATTGGTAGACTGGGCTTGGACGTGTGGTTGTTGTTGCTGTTGAATGGTTACCATTGCCAACATCTAGAAAGCAAAAAGAATGTTAGGCTGACGCTATCGAATAATATTGATTCTGGCTTGAGATCTGCATGTACCTTTTGAACTTTTTGTGCTTGTTCGAGACGTTCTTGTTGTGACTGTATCATGAATACAATGGAGTATCAACATTAGATTCTGTACCAATGCATCTATGACAAAAACACTGGAACCAGATTTAAGAATTCTGTTCGATATCCTTACCATGGATACGTAGTCAGATATTAATGCCTGACTAGAGTGTGTAGTTGAGTATTGTGGATCATATGGAGTATTTGATTGACTTTGAGGCGGCGAATCATGTGACAGTTGGGGAGAAGGGTATACTCCTGGTGAATAGAGCAACGTTTAGTATTCCTTCATAGGAGGAGCATCACTTACACATCATCTTAACGATAACCACTGTTGCCACTTGCGGCGGCAATCACACTTATCGTCGCGACCGTATTCAAATATCTGACTATTACCATTTTCGTAATGACGAGAATCATGACCATGACATCCATTAGACAATATATCGGCATCAGGACCTAATCCATATAACAGATGCAATGCTAAGTATTGTAGATTTGTAACCATAATAATCAACGAACAATTTAACCTACCATAAGATTGAAGATGGTATTCCTCATTCCCACCTGACAATCGCAATTGATAGTCAGTATTATCATTATACTCTGTAAATGAAACTTTCTCGAGCGCACCAGAATAGCCATTTCGAACAGCGTATCGAGCTGCTTCCTTAGCTTTGATAGCTAGCCGATTGAGTAAACTATTACTTGCGCGTTGCCTAAACATTCGGGCGTTTAAACAGATATCCAAAGTTGAGCAAGTAGGATATGATATATTATTGATGAACAGTATACTTGATTTGAAACACACTTTGCGGATATGTCCCATGCATATTTACAATCAAAATAACCACCATTGTAGCTGGCATTCAACGTCGACGCAAACGCTCTTACGCAAGCTCTGCTATCCCAAAATTCAACAAATCGTTGACTGTAATATTAAAACAAATTAATATCAACGTATGAGAACCAGATAATAGTGCTCACCCGTTTAGATACCTACTTTGGGTGGCCTTTGTAGTCCCTTACAACTTTAACTTCTCCGAATTGAGAGAAATGTTTTGTTAACGCTTCGTTTTCTAACGGCTCCTTTCCATCTTTCAATGTTATGAATAATGTTCCCTGCATCAAACGGTGAGTTAGATCTCTTACAACCCATTATTAAACGGCAATGCTTCAGCGATATACCTGGTTTTTTTCTCCATCACAGTAAACGGTATCATCATCGTCTTTTGGAAGAGAATAATGAACATCGATCTATTTAATCGATTAATTATTAATCAAAGTGCATAATATTAACAGCAGAAGCATATGGCGAGTATTTGCAATACCTTACGACTGCCTAGCTCACATCCCTGCAACTCCTTTTTGGCTCTCTCTGATGCTCTGATATCATACTGACAAAGGAAATAAGATCGATTAGAAAATCTTTACAGTGATATAATATTAGAATAAGCATGCGATCTATTTGAATTCATCCTCAATTTGCATTTGGCATACTGCTACGAAACATTCAACAAAACAGACGGTAGCCGCACACGAGCCATATATCCTCACTGCAATTTAGCGATCGTGATTAGCTATAATATTTACTACTCAGTGACTTACATAGCTTATAAATACCATTCCCCTCTTTTCAATCAAATCACACATTTCTTTAATCTCCCCATACTCTTCGAACTTCGCTTTTATCTCTTCGAGTTTAAGGTTATACTGAAGATAATTATGTAAACAATAAGAGATAGGATATATGAGACAATTGGACGGTGAGTTATATGGAACAGTAACGAGTATGCGGTGTTTCACATCTAGTTAATAGATATCTTCACGCGTGTTCATCGCAATCTTATATGTACAAATGTACATCACATCTCGCTTCCTTGTTCATTAAAACAATACCTGTATGTTTCTCACAAATAGCGTACGGCATGGACGTTCACGTAGGAGACGCGCCTCAAGAAAGGCGGGATCATTCTTACCGATCCTTGTCTCCATTTGTCCATTACCTAGATGCATTGAAAGAGAATATCAATAACTGATTTCGAACATCAAATAAGATTGGGGATGGCCCCGTGGCTCATATTCAAAGTATCGGAGAAAAGAGGTAAAGGTTATGCCAAAAAGGATAATATAATTAAATTAGAGTTGCATTCATTGAAAAATGGAACGGGCGTTTTCAAATCATCCAGGCAAAAGACATTATTAGATATAGCCATGTCCTCATGTCAAAGGAAATTGAATAAATCGATTAAGTTGAATTATATTGAATGAGTTGAATGAGTTGAATGAATTCGAATGGGTGTGTTGGATAGGCGGAAATAGCATATATACAGTCATGATATACATTAACACCATAAATCAAGTATCGGCGGAATAAAAGAGACTCCAATTGTATGTCCAAACTCTCAGGTAATGTAGTAAACGATAAATATCAAGCAACATTATTATGATCAATCAATGCAAAGAAACAACATGGATACGTATTATAAGTCCCACTCAAGTACAAACAATTAAGAATACTGTGATACATTATATCGAACACCACAATAGTAACAGAGACGCGTTTCTCACCATTCATAAGATAAGCAAGGTTAGGCTGTTGGTAGCCATTAACTTCGTCCCATGGAGTGCTCGAAGTCAGCACATCACGTCCTTTGAGACTTCCCTCTCCTTCTAGCATGGTCATCCTAGTCATCGGACCACGAATACGGCCTCGGCTTTTTCCTTTATCAGGTTCGTGTGTTCGTGCTATTAAATCGAGGCTCGCAAGTGGCTTTCTACTCTCTTTACTAATATACGGATGATGGCGACCTTTCACGCGTTCCATCGATGATTACCTATCTAGTAGTTGGAGTATTCTAGGGAGAGCTAAGCGAAAACACACGAGGTTTAAAATAAAACACAGAACACGTTTTACTAAAAGTAAAGTTTTTTTCCATTGCCTCAACATTCGAATTCACACGCGGCATAAATTTTTGGAAAATCGACACGAGGTTGTACATTTGTGCGAGATTTAGCAACAGGTCAGACTCTTGTATGACGGTATATCCCATGTATAGAACCTTGGCACGTGGATGTGAAACGCCACAATAAATTTCAGGGTGAATTTATTGTGTGACTATCAAACGAGGCTTTTAACTTTTTTTCTTCCTCTGATCCACGGCAATTCAGTTGGAAACAGCATATATTCATGCTATTTTCCGTCGGGTGTATAGACCGTATACCGTATACCGTATATGTACAGGCAGACTCGATAAGTCGGCCGATCTATGTAAATCGCGTTAGACTTAAGTTTCGCGCTAGCAGTTTAGTTGCATTACGGTACCCGTTGCATTAGTAGTCATTAACTGACTGCAATAACAATGGCAAGTGGCATGGTTACATAATTAAACCGTTCTAATGATAATTAGTGGTTCGTCGGTTTTTATGTAACATCTTTCTTTACACCAATCAAAGAGTTTCAGCAATCATGCATAACTCTCCTTATTTATCTTTTTAAATTTGCTTTCAACTAGTAAAGACTAATCAGAATAAGCATACAAGATCGTGAACAACTCTTTCTCCCATCACTGTAACAAAATAGAAACATACCTTACTGTAGTTACGTGGGGTGTTCAAAAGCTTTTGCAAAGTGCCAATTATGGGGTTGACGATCTTTTCCAAACTAAGATAAATAAAATAGAAGTTTCGGTCATGATCTTCAAACCGAACCATGTTTTGAATTTGTGGTAGAGATGCTGTATGTTCAATCAAACTTCGTTCCTAAAAACTAATGGCTGATCTTTCACGTAAACATTTTCGATTCTACATTTTTGTTGAGTGGAAAAATGGAGTTGAGGCTGGGAAAATTTATGAGAAGCTGGTGAATGTCTGTGGTGAGAAAGCACCATCATTACATACAGTTTACTATTAGACTAAGAGTTTTAGAGGCGATAAAGATAGTCTTAAAGATGTCTCTCAATCTGGGAGGCATCGGCATCCTTTTTAGTGCTATATACTAGGGCCATTCAGGCAATTACTGGTAGTAATCCACAAGAAGAGTATTGTAAATTTTTTGAATGAGGTTGAAGGGTTAGCTAATAACATTTAAAGTTATTATGTACTTTGTTGAATAAAGCTATTTTGCAAAAAACTTTTTGAACGCCCACATATTCGACCAGCCATACTAATACTATATGATTAAAAAAGCTCGAAAGGGATACGAGGAGTAGTAATGTTACGGCAAGCTGATCTGATGAATCAGATAAGTAAATCACATGATAAAATCTTCCTCCGCAGTCAGCAAACCCATGATCGACACATCAAATTTAGCTTAGTAATACAAAAGTT